TCAATTCAAGGTATTTGTGTTTGCGGCCAAAATAACTCAAACAACGACGGTGACTGAGCTTCTTTAACTCGCATACGCGAGTAACGCTTTTGCCAAAAACGCAGCTTTCTCATACTGATTGCGATAGTTTTGGCTGGATCCAAAGGGATGGGTAGGTTCCTTTTTCAGAAGACTCAGGATATTATGGGATACTGGGGAATTCGACTTAGGTGTCTTTGATAAAATCTTAACCCCATGCCTGAGAAAGAGTTCGTATATATTGTTGATGAAGAAGAGGTCGGGGCCTTTGGGGATGGGAGTGTTTTTTTGCTGTAACGTTCTTGAAAATTCCAAATATAAAACAGGAACTAATTAAGGTGATTCCCTAGTAAAAGAACCCGCCATAAATTTCCGATGAAACTTGGTATGCTGTTGTTAGAGGAATTCTTACTAAACTTTACTTTAAATAACGGCGTCCAATTATTTCTTGACGTATTGTAAACTTTGCGCTTGAAAAAGGTCGCTCGGATTGAATTGTCATTTAAAATTGAAGTTGTGGGCGCGCGCATCAGTTTTTTCAATAACTTCAACTTTTTTAAATGCCAAGAAACCGAAAATGTCCTTTATTTTGACTTCTCAGGAATTTAATTACCCATTTGCGTCAAAATGTTCCTCTAAAACTTTGGAAAAACGAAAAAAGTTTCGCCATTTCCCAGACGACCTCCAGCTACTGTACACTAATGGCTGACAGTGTTCAATGGCTCAGCCAATTCGATTACAGCATTTGCATTAGTATACTAGTAGAATTCTACTAATACACAATAGAAAATTTATTATGGACAGTATTATTCATTCTTTCATTCTTTCCTTTTACCACTAGTGGAGTGTCCCGCCGGTACTTATTACAACAGGGACAGTCAGATCTGCGAGAACTGTCAGGAAGGAACATTTCAGAATAGTACAGGACAATTAAGTTGTGTCCCTTGCCCAGCGGGTACATGGACTGTGAGCGGTCATGCCAGGAACTTCACCGAGTGTTTTGGTCAGTAAGTCTGTCTTTATATCCGTTATGTGGGATGTAGGAGTGGAGTATCGAGGGTCTTGGAAGCTGTTGTTGTTATGTTGATCCATTCTCGAAATCTCGTAATTTTATATGTGACAAGTCACAAAATCTAGTTTTTGTGTTTTTCTCTCTGTCTCGCAGTCTAAGATCCTTCAAGTCTCAATCTCAGGTTTTACCGTTTGTTACCCCGTATCGCTCAGGTTTTCGCTAGCTGAACAGTTCTTGTGCTAGAAGAAGTATAAATTTCAATGTGTCGAAGCTCTAGATTAATAATTCTTCGTTTCAATAGCAAAACTCACTGACGGATGTTTCTCTTACTTTACGACCGAAATATTCCTGCCCATCTGGATGGGCAGAAACATCTCATTTACATACAAAGCTCTATAAACTGAATTTGGTTGAAATACTTCTCCAAATAACGCGCGAATGAAAACTCGCACAGACCTAAATCTTGCCGAGGTTGTTTATATATCAATCTTCTATTCTATCCAAGATTCTTGACTTTAGTTATTAAATGGTTACGATTTTTGTTTTTGATGGCACGACAGTGAAAACTAATCTGTTTCTAACCAGAAATCTGTGAGCCAGGCGAGTACACAATGCTGGAAGAATCTGGTATTGTGAACTGTTTGATGTGTCCCATCGGAACCTACCAACCAAAATTTCGCGCCACAGAATGTCTATCTTGTCCTGGTGGCACGACGACGGCACAGAAAGCTTCAACTTCAGTAAACGACTGCCAGTAAGCGACTGGTAAGGAAAACATGCACTACTGCTCATTCACCTCTTTGTCCATCTACTTTCTTGAGTTATTCAATGCTCTAGAAAAAAACGTACGACCCATTCATTTATTCCATCTCCTTCAAGCCTTTTCGAGGAACAGCGTTTGTAGCAAATCTTCGTT